TATACAGTTATTAGACAGATATGTCACTCAAAAATTAAAACTGTCATCCGTTACTCACCCTCATATCGTTCCAAACCTGTATGACTTTCTTTTTTCTTTTTCTTTTTTCAAAAATATATTTTGAGAAATGTCTCAGTGTTTTTTTACTTGTCCATACAATGTTAGTCAATGGGCACTAAAACTGTTAGCAACATTCTTCAAAATATCTTGTTTTGTGTATCAGTGTATACAGGTTTGGAATGACATAAGGGATGAGTAAATTACCTTTAAACATGAGCCAGAATAGTCCAGAATTCACTTAAGAGGGTTTAGCTGAGCTTTATATCAACGTATATGAGGTAAAAGGTAAACAAGGTCAAATAAGCCTGTTTTTTAGGCATAATCTGTTTTTTTGGAAATGAAAAAAAAAAGAAAATTATCTTCTTATTGTAATTCATCTCCGCTCTAGCTGAAGCATTCTAATAACTGTGAATATTGTTATCTGTAGGACAAATTACTTGTAAGTTGCTTTGGATAAAAGTATCTGCTAAATGCATAAATGTAAATTCCTGGAAAGACTTGACTTTGACTGATGACTTATTCTATTCACTTTACTATATACAAATACTATGTATATTTTCCTGGGCCGTCAAATAATATCCCATTTAATCAAAGAAAAAAACATGGGAACTTTGATGATGTGGTTTTGTGATGCTAGTGTGAATCTGTTGTTTATGTAGCTGAGAGCAGTCCCAGTGAGATGGAGAGGTCAGACTTCACACACACCTCTGTTTCACACACTCTGGCTTATTCACAAGCATGACAGCGTTCAGAGTGATGCTGCTATACTGGGATGAAGTGTCAGTTCAGCTCAGGCAAACACAGACACTCATTTAAATGGAGTCAAATGTTTCACCTAGCTCATTTCCAGCAACTCCTTTCCTGCAGGTCTTTATTAATGGGTGCTGACTGTGCTTTCTTTGAATATATAGGTGTTGTGAACGCTTCAAGCGCCTCTGATTTTTTGTTGTTCCACTAGTTATTCCACCATCTTTAATCACAGACCCCCTCAGGGCTCCATCGTCTATGCTTTTATTAACCCACACAAAACAAACAGGTTTTATTGTTAACCTACAGGCACAATAACAGAACATGCTTCTCTGGTCAAGGTGTTTGATTAAAACTTTAAATATTGAACATCACAGTTAGCACAATATTAGCATATTAATATTAGCAACGTTGCAGAAGAAACAAGTAAAGCAAATTATAGTCTAACAATTTAAAATAAAATAAGCCCCAAAAAGTATTTGAACCAATACAAACAATAATCTTCAAATAAATTATGCTAGTAATTTTAAAGTGTCCAGATCAGTGTTATTTTAGTATATTTGAGATACTATTATAGTTTGTATTACTATTTTCAATTTTATATCTTCCGTTCCCATTTTATTTAATGTTTAAATTATTTTTTGGTCATTTTCATTAGTTTAAAAAAGAAATATGCCTATACAGTTTTTATTAATTTTTATTTTGGTTTTAGTTGTAATTATATTAGTACATAAATTTAAACTATACAGTATATATATATATATATATATATATATATATATATATATATATATAAAATAGATATATAAAAAATT